GAACTAGAGACATATTTTTTGTTGTAAAAGGACATATAAAAACATATTTTAACAACAGAAACAAAAAATTTTAATGGTAATTCTTAATTTTCATGTTTTTCATTTATAGGCATAAATACAGGTGTGTCCCCTTAAGGCAAAATGTACTATTTATGTTTAATCAAATTCGTCAAAATTAAAGTTTAAAATACAAGGACACATATTTCACATTGAATCTATGTATTTTTTATGTGGAATATATGCAATTTCATTGCAGAATCAACACAGAATCAGCGTGGATAATCCACATAGAAATCCACGCAATATTTTTTAACCGAGAGTGTACAACCACACCGTAAAATTTTACACTTAGTTGCGCAGATCATAGATACAGTCAGCGGCATTGCGATTTAACTTTTGATTCTGACTGTGGCGTAGGAACTTTCTTAAATGAAAATCGTAAAATGGCGTTACAACGATTTTAAAAGTAAAATTTAACAAGCATGTCAAAATTACGGGGAACTTAATTATAATATTGGGAATGAAGATAATAACTAGTTTTATACAAAAATAATAAGCCTCTACAGCTTTTTTGACATATAAGACCAATTTTGTGGCCAATTAGTAACTAATATTTATAATATGATTAAAATAAATTATTATTACAATCGAAAATTTTTTTAATGATTGGACAACAAGTTACAAGGGCTGGTACATAGGTTTCAAATCGAGCAGAAATGTAGTATAATTTTTTATTTACATTTAACTCAAACCTGTGTCAAATTCTTTTCAAGTGCACGGTTTGAAAAAATCTATATATGCTTTAAGAGAAGGAAGGTGGGATGATGGGCAGTTGAAGCAAGTTTAAACACACAAATCGGAACTTTTGCGATTCATTCATTTGCGAGTTTTCTGGATTATCGAGTTCATGAAATTTCATAATTTTAATATTTGAGCATATATGATCAATTATGAAATCAATAGTTTTATTAATAAAAATATATAAACCAACAATTCGATCAACAAAAATATGTATTTTAAATCTAAATCAAAATATTTTATGAATTGATGTAAGAATATTCACGCTCCTTAACGTTGTGTTATATTTTAAGAAACCGAGTCATATGATCATAGCTTTAAGTTAATATTTTGAGCACTAAATAGTTCATTTTTCAAGGGTAAATATTTTTTCGTAAGAACTTTCACGTATATCCATTCAATCTTAATCTAGAACATATACTATTCAAGAAATACCAGAATTATATACGTGAGATACAAACTTCAGATCCTATTAAAAATAATTAAAGAAACAAAAATTAGATGCCAAAGTTACCAAAACAGGAATTACCACCCAGTCTTTCATTGGCTATCATAGCATGTTGTAAACTATCACTCGTGTAAAAAATTCAATCAATTGTTGATTGATTACAAAAACTATTCAAATCAATTTTTTGATATTTTGAAAATAAATTTTTTAATTGAATTTTTTTTTCTGGGAGTATTGAGTTTCTAAAATAAAATTGGTTTTCCATTAAAGTTTTCAAATTTTTAATGAAAATTAAAGACTTAAAAATACAGAATTTTGACACAAAAGATTCAAAATAGTTGTTTATTAATAGAGCAGGTTTAGAAAATTTAGTTAGAAGTGTGAAGAATTATTCTACTGAAAATTATATACATTATTAAAATTATAAATATTAATAATATCCTTAGCCAGAATAAAAATAGATATCAAAACTAATCATTAATTATTAGCCTGTTAGCTTTAGAGGTATCAAATTGAATCCTGGCCGGGAGAAGCTTCTGGAAATCGTTGATACTAATCACGAGTATTATGTATAAAGTGGTTTCTCCCCGAAGGAATTGCAAAATGAACGATTATTTACAGCTGTTCAAATCTATGCAATAATAAGATCAAATACCTAAAATTGGGAATAAATGTTACATAGTTTTATACGTATACGTATTACTATTAATAATATTATATTTCCACAGAGTATAGACAACGTTATATGTATATTTAATCGTAAAACCTTATTAATAACTGATTATAGTAATTCATCCAATTATTTAAAATTATAGTATATTACATTTTTCTAAGATAGTATTTAAATGTGTTGGTAATAAAGCGCGAAGTTTGTCAATGTAAAGTACATACTTTGTCTGAAAGACTCAAGATTATCACTTTCATACGAGGTTCACTTATTGCCGAATCTAGTACATTTTTATTTGAATATAAATTTAAATTACAATTGACTATACAATTGATGTGAAAGTGAATTGACCGAAAATTTTGTTTGTGGAGAATGTTTTTACCTTCTTGCATGCTTGGAAAAACGCGCATACATAAACATTTTTTCCAAGTTGCGTTATACATTTGTTTACTGCGAATTAACTTTGTCAAATCACGATTATTTAAACAACATTTTAGCTACTTTCAAAAATTGTCGTGTACGTAAGAGAATTTTGCATAAATGTACGTGGGGTTACATTATTTCACTCAAATACGCTCCGTGGCATAGGAAAATTTAATTCAAATTTAATGAAAAGAAAACTTAAACTTTAAGTCGATGTAGTCATTGTTTAGATAGTCAGTTCTAAAAATATTACATTATTGGTACATGTAATTTAGAATAGTGATTCTATAATTTCTCGTTATTTCTATAGACGAACTAATGAAGAATTTTCCAAACCATTGAAAAGTATGTCAGAAAAAAGGTCAATCGTGAAAAATAGCAATTTTTGAATCATCATATTTCCACGATAAAAATAGAAACTTATACAATAATTGCAAAATTTAAGAATACCATATAAATTAAGCTAACCCTAAAATAATAATAAGTTAAAGATAATAAAAAGATAGTTATAAAAAAAATTCTCAGTATTATTTATTGCCACTATCCATTCAAGAAAAAACTGATGATTTGTACTGAATGTAGTGAAAACCAGCCCGGTAAAAAGTTTTAGGTACGAAAAAACCAATAATATTAATATGCATCAGTGTATATCTGAATAAGTCTAGAAATATATCATATTATGTAAGATCTTCGTCTATGAAGCGCATGATCGGTGCGATCAAATTCATAGCATAGTTCTTTAATAAGTAGAGTAGATTATTGTGATCGGTGTTTATTTAAATATATCGAAAAAATACACCATAAAAAGGAAAAAAATCATTGATTTAGATGTAGTAAGATTGGTAATTATTCTTGCTTTTATCGAATGTATTGTGTTAATAAATCTTAGAAAATATGTTATTAAGTTGATAGGGATACTTTACCAATCAAATAGTCGATATTAATTAAACTGTATTAGAGTTATAGAATAACACCTACTTGGTATTATTGAGAGTTACTATACTTTGAGGTTTAAAATAATAATAGATATAATGATAGATAGGAGATTTATTTATTGTAGATTAAACAATATATATTTTCAATGACATCGCGAGTAGTTAATTAGTTACCTTTACTCGACAATAATAGTCAAATAATAGTGAAACGATAGAGAAAATTTAGTTGTGTGGTTTTTAAATTAGTGTCAAATTATGAAATTTCATGAATGCATTTTTATTTATTTAATTCCTCCTTATTTGTCATACTTTTTTCTCTTAATATTTAATATGCGTTTTTATGTCTATTTATATCACTGATAATTTATTGACTTAGTTGCTTTTTTAATCCACAAACTGTGTGAAATAAATTTTGTCGAATATTTTTATTTATAAAAATGATTCTTATAGCACTTAATGCAACGAGTGTATATATGTTTTTTATGCAAAATGAGAGATTCTTCTGCACGAGTTGAAGACAAGTGCAATCTCAAATTTTAATAAAAAAGCTTATTCATATCCGTTGCATAAAATACTTTTAAAGTAGTGCGTTGCATAAGTTCATATTTGTGGCACAATTTTTTTGTGGCATCTGACTTGGAAAATGGGGCGATCGTTTTAATAGCATTTACTATTCTTTTATGCTGACCTCACTATGCGGTACCAGAAACCACGACTTATGATTCGGAAAGAACGGTTCATTAATTTGGACTTAGCACAGTGCTATTAAATGGTATTTGATATTCACTGCGCTCGGGCTCAAAATCATGTCATGCCAAAAAGTTTTACTTATTGTACTTTTATCGTTTTGTGCGTGGCATAAAGTCTCATTCGTTGCACTCTTTCCGGTGGCATAAGTCGCACATTGCGCAATATCAGAAAGTGCGACGTATGACTCGGAAATGAGGTCATAAATGTGAACTTGGCAGAGTGCTTTGAAATTGTGTGTGATACTCGTGTCACAGGGTACATTTTCTGACACGGCTATTAGGGCCCGAGCGCAGAAAATATCATACTATGGAGTGAGGTTAGCTCATTTACTAACTACGCTCATGCAATACGAACGATCCGATGCCAGAATGCAAAACTTATGCGTCAAAAAGTATGCCACAAATGTGAACTTATGGCATGCAATGCTATAATAGTATATAAATTTATAATACATTTTGTGATTATGATATTTTTGTGAATCACAAATAGTATATTACGTGTCTAGGGAGCGAAAAACTGGAAAGCCTCAAAACACGTGTAATTATCATCCGAGGCGAAGCCGAGGCTGATGAACATGTGTTCTGGTGCTTTCTTTTTCGAATTAAGTGCTTATACTATTTTTCATGAATCCCCCAGCAGAAATTAACTTTTTCGTTTTGGCCGCCAGGACGAAAAAGGTTAGTTTCTGGGTAAGAAAAATAGTATACAAGCCTAAGTCGCTAAAACAGAAAGCCTCAGCGAACGTGTTTATTGGCATCGGCTTCGCCTCGGCCACTAATTACACGTACCCTGAGACTTTTCTGTTTTTCGCGGCCTAGGGCAGTAACATACTATTGAGATAAATAAGTATTACGTGGCTGAATTATATACGAAAATTGTAAACTATAAAAACGATTCGAAAATATATTTAAAGTCGTTGAAACAAGCAGTAACATGATTAATTTGAAACACTAATCAATTTTTCCTTTTTCTTTTATAGACTTCATGTGGTCTTTAGGAGCATTACCTGATGGTGAGTTTATACTCATTTTAGTCTTTGAATATTACAAGGTATTTAAATTAAGAGTACCAGAAACTTTTTTAATATAGATTTTAATATGAAGCTATGATACTCATTGTAATAAAGAAAATTGTGACTTATTCACAGGTTTTCCAGCGGCCTATGCGGCATACGCAGCAGGCCGTGGCTACTCTGGCTACCCAAGCTTCGGACTACCGTATCCAACAGGTAACCATTTTAGCCTTAGCCACCTTAACCAACTGAATTATCATAATGCGACGGCAGCTTCGACTCACCATGTTGCTCAAACGTCTTTAAACTTAAACGTGAATCACTTTCATACGGGTCCGACGTCGGCGGCAGCAGCAACGGCTGCCGCCACTCCCAATCATCATGATCCTGCAGCAGCTCACTCAACAAGCCCAGCTGCACTTTTTTACCACCCAAATTTAGACTTCTTTAACGCCATGCCTCTGTGAACTATCTAAAATTATGATGATTACAATACTGTTGTTTCTACTTTATTTTTCAAACGAACAGTAATATCATCATAACGGTTATTGCTACTGGTAGCATAGGCAAATCAGCTTCATCGCGGATTTCACATGTTGCTACTTAATGCTTTGCTGCTGCCGTCGACGCTGCTGTCATTGAAGTTTTACAATGATGGATTGTTTTCAATTACAGTGTAACTTGTTTAATTCGAACCTTTTTATTTCAAAAACCAGGTCCAATCGTTTTGGCTAAAGCCAAATAATTCGCTGACTTACTAAATGTAACGAATTTCAGCGCAACGAACGGTTGGTTCAAAGGTTTTAAAAGTAGACACGATATTGTTTTTAAAAATGTATGTGGCGAAAGTGGATATATCGACCAGACAATGGTTTCAAATTGGAAAAATTACTGGGTGAAATTATCGCGGACTTAGAGGCTAAGGACGTATTCAACGTTGACGAAGCCGGGCTGTTTTACCAGTGTTTACCAAATTTGAGTTTCCAAGGTGAGACCTGTAATGGCGGAGAATTGAGTAAAAAGCGCGTGGCACTTATTGGAGCTAATATGAATGGTACCGAAAAATTACCTTTACTGATGATTAGTAAAAGTGCTAAACTTTTCGATTCGAAAACCTGGTTATTTCGAAATGACGGCCTAGTCCCCAGAGTTTCGGATTAAACCGGTTTCACTGTATACATAAATATGATAAATTATGCAGAATAAAAAACTCGAATTCTTAGCTGAAACATAATTTCTTCAAACAAAATGCTGTATAAATCTACATAAATAAATATACATATTATATTCACTTTTTTCACTACATAAATAAATATATTATATTCACTTACATTCTTATTTAAGAAAATCATAGTACATAGTCTTTTTTGATACATAAAAAAACTACAATCCTTGCGTGAACGGAGTTACTAACAGTTTTATGAAACCTATACCTGCAGTGTATAACAGATCGGATAACCTGTCATTTTTGTTATTATATTCTATATTATTTAGTTTATTACTTGCATCGCATTCTGGTTGATAATAAACCGGGTTTTTACTAAATTTTTATTTGAAGTGGCCCCTAACCTTTATGCGTCATGGTTTTTTTGACGAATAAAAACGATTTCCTTACGAAAATTTCAAAAATAAAATCCAAGAACAATTGATTTGTTCATCAAATTAGCACAATAAATTCAAGGATACTATAATTTTTTATTTAGGCTTACAAAAGTATTTTTTATAAGAAAATTGTGCATGGAGTTTCCGTCATGAATCACTTCATGGTTTTGGCTTAACCTAAAAAACTAGTGATTTTAGTTGAAGTTTGGAAATGAGCGAAATTAATCGAAATAGTTGAAACTTTATTTTATGATAGTAAACATACTAACTACACCTGGTTGGCCAGAAAAACTCTTACTCAAGCTCAAATATCCCAGTAATATTACTTTTTTGTGCTACCCTAACCTAAAGTAACATTTTACTCCCGCTGAGCAAAACCAAAATGTTACTTTAGACTGGGGGATTCACAAAAAATTGTATTTGCAGCTAAGTGCTCTGAGACTTTCCAGTTTTTCACTCCCTAGGCGCAAAATATACTATTATAGCACTGTGCTAAGTTCACATTTATGTCCCCTTTTCCGATGCATAAGTCGCACTTTCTGGTAACGCGAAGTGAGGTTAGTGCACGAGCGTATGCGAGTGTGATGCGAGTGTGATGCGAACGCCGCGGTGCCAGAATGTGCGACTTATGCCACAGAAAAACGTGCCATAAATGTGAACTTATAGCTATAAAAATTATTACTTCTCTTCAACGATTGCCATAAAGATACAATGTCAATATATTTTGTTGCTTTTTGCGGCGAGCAAGTAGGATTGTATGCTAATTGAAATAAATCTCTGTTTGTCACATCGCTTGACCGAAATTATCAATGATGTGACTGCGTGCAATTTGTCCCATTCAACTCATTTATATGCTCATGGCTACATTATTTAACTACTAAGCTAAAATAATACGTACGTTCTACCTCCGCAGAAATATGCAAATATTTTCCCTGTCGATAACATCCAAAATTCGCATATACAAAAAGCGTGGTGACAAGCTTTCACCCTAAATTCTCATAGTTTAATGAGCCACATCATATTCAACCTCGCGCTTATGCACCGAAGTAAATAATGATGTCTTCGTGACAGGGCATGGATATTGGTATAGTTCGAAGAGGTTCGAAAATGAACTAATTACAGGTAATAAATAATTAAGGACTCAAAGGGGGCTTAAAGTCGAAAAAAATTTTATTTCATTTCCGAGTAGGATTTTTTGTCCCCTTTCCATTGCATTTTTCGAAATTCCAAAATTTTTATTTTGCCCTGGCATACAGCTGTTTCCGTGAGCCTTTTTGTAGACTTTGCGTGTTACATTTTATATTCTTTTACATTTTCTAGCGTTTTACATTTTTGCAAAATGCACCTCACTTATCGTAACATTCAAAGCGTACTGATTGAGTTACAGCACCAGGGTCGCGTACACTTCTTCGGAACATGAATGGTTACGGTCGTGACCTCGGTTGAGGTGATCAAACTCGTGGGTCACTTTCAATCAGTACATTCATGTTGGAAGTCACAAAAAAAATGTAAAATGAAAAAAAAATTGTGCTTAAGTGTTTGTGCAGGGTGACTTATGGGTTGGATTAAATTATTGTAGTTTAAAAGTATAATAACAGTGACGGAGCCCATTGAAATCGGGCTTTTTTCTAATTTTACTATATTCAAGCATATTGTACAAATTTTAGGCGTTTGTTATTGCGAATAAATGCAATGATGTTAGTCAGCAGATAAATAATATCTCAGATATTCATTTGATTAATTTCTTCAGAAATTCGTATTAATGTGATTAAATTTTCCATCTGTGTACGACACGACCGCACCTATTTGCATTCTATCTTAATTTACATACTACTAATGAACTAGTGAAAAAGGTTATAATTGATTCATCTTATTCTATTCCTCTAGTTTTCGTGGAAAACTTTCTTTGAATGCTGAAAGATTTTTCGACTTCAAGGGTCCAAATTGCAACACCTATTCTTAGATATTCCATCTAGTATTGCTTTTAAGAAACTTGCATCTATAAGTTTATAATAATAATAAAAGTAATACAATATGAATAGCCTAAGTGCAATATACAAGTACACTTTAGTGTACAACGTGGTTTAGGGCCAGAGCGCAGCGAGGATCCTAATAGTCGTGTCAGAAAGTGTCCCCTATGACACGAGTATCATACTCAATTTTATAACACTCTGCCAAGTTCACATTTATTCCTAAGTTGCACTTTCTAGTAACGCGAAATAAAGTTAACACACAAGAGTATCAAATGCGATGCGAACGACGTAGTGCTAGAAAGTGCCACTTTTGCCACAGAAAAGTGTGCAATGAATTTGAACTTATGCGATGCAGTTCTGTAAGAAAATTATAAAAAATTATTTTTTCATAGCTCAGTGCTATAACATGTTGTGCAATACTCGTGCCATGGGGACACTCTTATGGGAGAAGTTGAATTTTGAGCAAGAAATGCCTATAAATTTCTTGATTATGTTATGAAAGAAATAAACAACTATTCAAAAAGAATTCAGAAAGCTGAAGTTATCATTTTTCGATTAGCCTATTAAAAAATACATGTAAACACACTTCTTAAGGATTCATCAACGATCAAAGTATAAAATCATGGTATTTTGGTTTATGTGTGCCTTTTAAATCGCATATAGCCTGTGTATAAGTCAACTGCGCATGGGTACCATGGAGGCCATTAACGTTGGGATTTTTGTGTTCTACGATTTCAAAAATCCCTAAGTAACAAAATTAGACTTGTTTTCATCGTTAATTAGCGGAGGAACAATTTTTAAAAAATTGTATCAGCGAGTTGCACTTCTAAAATAAATTTTTCTCATGCACGGATGATATTTATTTCTCCCTCATTAATTTTGTTCACAAACGTGTGCGGTAAAGACATGAGAAAACAAAATGCGAAACGAGTTGAATTACTAAATTTATTAATGATAATGTTTGTAAATGAAAATACTTTATGGATCCAATTTCCAAGAAAATAAAATCGGCGTAGATTTTTTTTCAGAAACTATTTTGAGAGTATAAATAAAATCGAAAAAATTTTAAATTTAAATAAATAATATTTTTTTGATAATGAGTACTTGCATTTGTTTTAACTTCAGTAAACATTGTGGACTATCTTTTTGATTTATGAAATTCGTTGAGAAAGCAACTATTTACAATGATGACAATGATGGTATAAAATAGTTCTATGCACATTTTTTCACGTATTATTACTTAGCGATAATCATAAAAATATTCTCTCAATTAAACTAGATTTATTAAAAATACATTTTCTTCAAAATTACCCTGATCGGAAGTTGAAAAAAAATGTTCACAGACGCATGGCTGGCAAACTCCGTGGTCCTTCGTCAAGCAAAACGACGCCTGCCTCTACCTCCTTTCCATTAGGTAGTTCAATAGTTTGATCAAACAGCAAGATGTCAAATATTAGCTCCTGTGAAAGAATCGAATTATTTACGGATGATTTATATGTGTAGAATAAATTTATATGAGCCAAAATTAGGAGATGAATGAAACTATAAAAAAAAACCGTATTAAATTTATTTATAGACGCGGATTCATTTATAATTGAAATTGATTGATAAATGATTTTTTTTCAATAAGTTTGAAAAAAT